CCCAGCCAAGTTCAACAGCTTCCAAGTGGCGTTCGAGATGAGTTGGATGCGTGCTGGAAGCTCGTGCGATTCGTTGGAGTGTGTGGAAGCCTTTGGTGACGAAAGGCGTTGGCTTTGTTTCCACTACTTTTCCCGTAACAAATGACGATGCCTCGTCACTTGAACTGGTGAATCTACTGCTTTGTGTCTGTACGTTCGCATCGCCAACAAGTGGAAATCTCGGAATTGCTGGAGCGACAACATGTGCGGCAACAAGTAGCTGCTCTTGTGCTCACTAGCGCAACGCTGCCAGAAGCTGGAGCAATGATTGCACCTGTCCAGCGCGAGTATGTACTTCGATGCATTTGCCCCAGACCTTTTCTACGAGAATACTACGATGAAACGACGTTGGATGACGACGGTGAGACGAACGTGCAGCCAGATCAGGAACTCGAATCGAGTCCACTTGTGGTGTGTCGCATGTATGCCGCGTTTAAGAAAAGCACTGTGCGGTTTGCGCTGGTCTTGGCCGAATCGGAGTTTTAGAAAAAGTGCTATCTGTCCGTGATGGCCGAAAGTACTACCGTAACAATTCGACGAGACAAAGTTTGCGTAAGTAGCAACGTGGTGGAATTGTTAGGAATTGTCGTGAATTCACAACAGTTAAGGACATGATTGATTTCTGGATTTGGACTGGATCTGAAAAAGACTGATTAGAAAATTTCCTGATTTGGAAGCTGCAACTTCTCGTCAGCCCACCTGAATTTGTAATCCAGGTTGGGGCATTGTAGTCCGATCAGATTTTGGGAATATCAGAAAGCAATTGAGCTTTCAAATCGTTTAGCTGGACTATACCTGTTTTTAATTTTCAATTAGGTACTGGACTACATGTAGTGAAAAAATCTTTTCGTGAATTGACACAGGACGAGCTTTAAAAAGGTCAAATTGTAGAATGCCACCGCTAGGCACACGGAAATCTGTCTTGTGGGAGTCGAACAGTTAAGCGTAGAAGAAGAAGAAACGGAACTAGCAACTTCCTGTCTTGATACAGCACATTTTGGTCGCTGGTTGCAGTACAACGAAGTATTAACGTGTATCCGCTGTTAATGCAAAATTTCGTCTCTTCGTGGCGTCCATAACTTCCTGGTACATCAAGCTGGCAGCTCAAGTCCTTACAAACGAGACAATCGACTCAATATTATTGAGCTATTGGGAAGTATTGAAAGAGTTGCATTTTTTTTTAAAATGAATTCCAGCTACATTACACGTAGTTCTTGCATGTAATTAAGCTGATCTCCATCACCATATCATGCATTGCACCTTCCGCCAGCATCACGGATGCGTTCAGGGATTTTCGACACCATGTTTCTTTCTCAGTCGAGCTAGCCATTGCTCCTGTTTGCCTGTCTTCGCTACGTATCTTCTTATTTTCATGCGTCTTGCCAATGCTTGAAACAGCGACGTTAGGAATCTTTCTTCTTCAATACCATTTCCGTCCGATGCGGGGCTTACGAGACCGCGCAGCAGCCGCCCATCATTCACGTTTACGGAATCGACGGGATCGAGTGGGGATTCGTTTTTGATAATGGTCTTGAAATTCTTGACCGGGAGTGCGGTGCTACTGGCGTAGAGAGTGGCTAGGAACACCGCCGTGAGGATGTACGTTAATCGCATACTGTTTTCTTCTGCTTGCGGAAGAAAGTTGAGACGGTCTTTTTCAGAATTGGACGCTTGTCGGCGAAGTAGTGAAATGTAGAATGAAGGACCGGTTTACTTTGTCAACAGAATGACATTTCTTTAGGATAACGACCCACATGTTTGTCAATGGGACGACAGCGAATCCTTCAGTACAGTGCTATTATATAGGACTGTAATCCCCATCCTAGGGATGACAAAGTATGCGCTCAGTATCCAAAAATAGGACTGTAATCCCCATCCTAGGGATGACAAAGTATGCGCTCAGTATCCAAAATTAGCGTATTTCTTTCCACGTCCACACAACATGTTTCAGCGAAAGAAAATCGCTGTATTCCAACAAGTGCCCCTTTTATAAGGACAAAACTCGAGTCAGTACGATGAAGTCTGCCAGACAAAAGTGACTTACAGTTCGATCATGGAGGCTGATACAGAAGTGCCAATATTTGTCGTGAAGGGATTTGATTGATCTTAAAGAAAAGCTGATACTCGTTCATGATTTAGAGCTATCGCTGGCAAAATAATGGCCTAAATGCATGCCCTGAAAGCAGCTAAGAGGTTTTTTGATACTTTTTTGGAGAGCCCTCTTATATTTTTCGATTATATTGTATATGTAGGTGGGGGCGGGATATACGGATGTGACTAAACTTGAAAAAGTTACGTGACAAAACACATGTTGAGTCACTCTAACGCTGAAGATGCTCTTAGAGCATCTTCAGCGGTTGGTCGTAAAGGCGGTTTTATCTCAAATGTAGCGCGCTTAAGACTCGAGCGAGTCTTAACGCTCCCAGCGGTAAGTCTCAACGCTGGTTTTAACTTCAGCAGGTCTTAAATTTGCCTTTCGGGGTTTTAAAATAAGACTCGTAGGGTGGTGTGGCCCACACTTCAACATTGACACGAGTTCGCGCGCAAAACAGAAGAACTCGTCGAGAAAGATGGGGAAGGGTCGAGAATGGAGCGCGGAGGAGACGATTCAGCTGTGCAGATCGTGGCTGGAGACATCAGAAGACCCCATTCGCGGAGCCGGTCAAAAGAAGGGTTCGTTCTACGCCAAAGTTTATCAGCACTGGCTTGCACAGCGAGGGGCTGGTGCAGACGAACGATCGGAGGCTGCAGTTTCTGGTAGGTGGAAGAAGCTCCAGCCAGAAGTCGGATTATCGCAGAAGTAGTCGGCTATCATCTCCTCCCCATACTGTGCTCTCTTGCGTTCCTTTCCTGCTCGCCTGCCGACTTCAGAACCACCGTGCTTCCTCTTCCGCTGTGCAATTAGCTCGGGTAATATGAAGAGACTGAAGAACTCGTCATCAGAATCCCCTGTTGCGTCACAAAACGCATCCGCATTAGCTCCTGCCATGCCCTCCATGAGAGGAAGGGAGTGAGAAGGGCGGGGGCGGAGCTTACAATGCTTGTTGTGATTCGCCAAAACAATAAGATAGATCTTTGCTTGAGACCTCCCGTTGCGGCAAAATCAGAGGTGTGGAGTCTTAAAATAAAACTGCGGTCTCAATGGCCTCGAAGGGGCGTCGATACGACTCACGTTAGGACTTACCGCTGGAGATGCTCTTAGAGCATCTCCAGCGGAGCCGGATGTAATTGAGTACTGAAATACTTTATACAGT